CAAAAAAAAAAAAAAGGGGGGGGGGGGGGGGGATTTCCTCATTCTCACAAGCTAAACATTATTTCCTTGAAATTAGACTTTTGTGAACATAGTATATAGTCTATATTTCAACAAGTCTTCTCTAATATGAGATATACACTCAGGGGCTTAGTTGAAGGATGTGTTAAATATGTCTGTGAAGAAATCTGCAAGTATTTCAGAACACATTTAGCAGGATTCTTCTCATATCACCATAGTTACTGATAGCACCTGCTCACCCAGCAAAATCTGGTTACACTGAATATTATAGTTTTTTCTTTTCTTTTTCGAATTTGTAGCACTTTGAGATTTTGTTTAATATAAAGTGTTATAAATAAAATTTATTATTATTATTATTATCATTAAAAATTGGCCTAGCATGAAAAGTGATATTTAATCATTTTACATCATTGCAAAAACAAATAGCTTTTTTTTTTTACACAAAGTTTTAATGTTGCTGCATTCTTCGAGTTCAACATTGAACAAATATTCAACAAATATTATTCTAGAACAAAAATCAGGTGAGGGTTTTAAAACGGTTATGAAATTCCAAGGTTGCCAATCAACATTTTGACAAACAAGTTTCTGAAAAGCTGTTGGATTTAATTTAATTCTAAAATTTATGTAAGAATACATTTGTAAATTGATCGATTTATTTATTCATTTATTTGCATCCTCTGTAAGTTCTGAACTACAGTTTGTTTAGGAGATCAGACGTTTCAGAGATACTCCAATCGTTGCTTTAGCCACAATCACAGATCTCATTGTTCCTCCATTCTGATTTTTGATTTAAGCAGCTATATATATATATATGTATGAACTGAGTTTCTACCACATGACCTGAAGATGTCATTAAACAAGCAAGTATACCTCATGGCAGGGGAGTGTATATGGATAAAGAGAAATATACCAAGTGCAGCGTGTTCAAGCAACAAGAAAAAGAGGAAGACAGGGTCTGTATACACAAGTTCTCAAAAAGCTATTTTGGGGATTCTTGGCACTCAAATCAAGATTATGTCTTATGCTCAATGAGTTTCTTGATTCATTTAAAAACCATAACAAACAGGTTCTTCATAAAAGGAATGGGGAAATCAGTTAACTCGATCAAAGTGTTAACACATTCACTGTCTTTGCAGTTGATTTCCTTCAGTGTCAGGTGTAACCTAACCTGACTTTTTGCCTCTGGCAAAGCTTGCCATTCTTGGTTTATCAATATCAGTACTCCAGACTGTTAGGTAACACACTAAAGCAGCATTACCAGAATGGTTAGTAATGGCAGTGTATCAGCTTAAGTGTGAGGCAGGTTAGTAAAGAGATGCTTGCTGGGATTTGGATAACTTACTCTGGACAATATTCTGATAGGCCACTGCAGCAGGAGAGTCTGGAACTTCAGTTAGGAAAGACTTTCCTTCGTCACAGCTTTTCCCTTGAAAGGCAAAATGTGGAAGTGCATTTAGAGAACTAGAAACTGCTGGCTGCTGACTTTTCTTCAGACGCTTTAAAAGAATCACTGTAGGGAGTTTTTTGGTACTTGATTCACTGACTACAAGGTGTAAATATAAAAACAAGGAAACACTCTCACAAAATGAAGAATTGGATTGCACCGCAGTGTTATGATGTAAATTAAACTTCCTCATGTCCTGACCACAGCGGAACAACTGTAGAATGATATTTCAACTCTGTTGAATTTAATCCGGTTTAAAGCATTCTCTTCCTTGTGAATGGTAAAAGACTAAAGCTTTTTGTACCTATCCGTGGATCCAAGGGTACGCTGCCCAAAAGAGGGAGATTTAGTTCTTCACACATTCTCTGTGCTCCTCCTGTGGTCGGAGGAAATATCTGTGATGTATTCTGTCAACAGAAAGAAAAGGGGTATCAAAAACCAATATATAATGTGGCAGTTGATTCCACAATGCAATATTTTATTACTCACTCTTGCGTTGTTCAAAACATGAATGACTTTTTTCTTCTATAGAACACATTAATCGCTCTTTTCCATGCAAGTGCAACGGAATATACTAGCTTCAAAAATAATACAAAGGGATCATCAAAGTAGTCCACACAACCCAAGTCTATGAAGAACTATAACAGCTTCATGTGACAGAGAACAGAATTTAAGATGTTATTCCCGGATAATCTTCCTTTCCATTGGCTGTTGGCGACTGACTGTCAGAACTCAAGAACCGGATCGGTCAGACCTACAAATGAATTATTCCGAGTGATTTTATGAACTGGATAAACGTTCGTTTTAAGGATGCTACTAAAAGAATAGTTGGAATGATATCCGTAAATAACGACTTATAATAGCATATAAAGGTCTGCAAGATTTTTCTAAATGTTTTTGAAAGAAGTCTCTTATGCTCACCAAGGCTTCATTTATTTGATTAAAAAAAAAAATTATATTGTAAAATATAATGAAAATTTAGAATGACTATATTTAAAAAAAAATAATTTATTCCTGTGATGGCAAAGCTGAATTTTCAGCATCATTACTCCAGTCTTCAGTGTCACATGATCCTTTAGAAATCATTCTAATATCCAGTATATGCTCAAGAAACATTTCTTATTATTATCAAACCTTTGTGCCGCTTAATATTTTTGTGGAAAGATTTTTTCAGTATTCTTTAAAGAATTGAAAGTTCAAAAGGACAGCATTTATTTAAAAACTGAAGTGTTTTTTTTATTATAAATGTCTTTACTATCATTTTTGAATCAATTTAATGCATTCTTGATGAATTAAAGTATTAATTGCTTTCTGCCTTACTGACTGCAAACCAATGTTAATTTTACTGATGAATAATTTTCGTCAACGACATTTTTTTCACCGACGACAACGAGACGATAACGAACCAAAACTCTTTTTGAATGACAAAAACTATGACGTAAATCTATTGACATTTTCGTCAACGAATAAAAACGAGACGAAAATGTTAGGGAGGGACGATTTGGGAAGAGATTCATTCAGAACGAATCTGCTGCGTGGTTCGGAGGTTAGATGCGTATTGCGTACATATGAACCGGCGGGTTACACTTGCTGTACGTCGCATAAAACGTTCAAAAATGTCAATATGTTGGAGTAAGAGAAGAGCAGACACATGGATAAATCTGACGACGCAAGAGAAAACTCAATTGTCTGGGTTTTTGAGCGCACAGACACAGAAATAACGTTACTTTCACCGACGACAACGAGACGATAACGAACCAAAACTCTTTTTGAATGACAAAAACTATGACGTAAATCTATTGACATTTTCGTCAACGAATAAAAACGAGACGAAAATGTTAGGGAGGGACGATTTGGGAAGAGATTCATTCAGAACGAATCTGCTGCGTGGTTCGGAGGTTAGATGCGTATTGCGTACATATGAACCGGCGGGTTACACTTGCTGTACGTCGCATAAAACGTTCAAAAATGTCAATATGTTGGAGTAAGAGAAGAGCAGACACATGGATAAATCTGACGACGCAAGAGAAAACTCAATTCATCTGGTTTTCTGAGTGAAAACACTGAAACTTACACACACAGAGAGCGCGTCTCACACAGTGTTGCCAACTTAGCAATTTTGTTGCTAAATTTAGCAACTTTTTCTTCCAAAAGCACCTAGCAACAAATTTAGCTATTTTTTTTAATTTATTTGGCAGCTTTAAGCAACTTTTGATAAGTGATTCAAACGATAAAAAGGCACAATTTACCATTTAAATTACACAAAAAGAGGAAACCAAAGATGCCTAGCAGTACACACGTTACAGGAATTAAGTTAGCTGCTATTTGCAATTGTTTAATAGTAATAATAATAATAATCAAATACTGTTATTTTTCATTTATGAGACACTTTGTTAGTAGCTTGATTGTTGATGAGTTACACGGTTTCTTACAGTACACTGTAAGAAAAATATGCAGAAAAATGGAAAAGGTGCTAGTAATTTTCCAGGACATTATCCGTTATCCGTTGTAACCCGAAAACACAAAATACAATGCGTAATTAAAAATGCAGGTACAAAAACCTGTGGAAAAATCAATCCAGAAAATTCCTTCATATTAACACAGTAGATTGTGCATTATTTTTTCTACATTTCTTAGAGTGCAGCATACAAATAAACTGCCTTAAAGTATAAAACTTAAATTGTAATCGTTCAAAAATGTGTACGTTTTCGATAATTCAATGGATTTAAAAATAGTTATTTATATTTTAATATTATATTATGCATTTATATTGCTACGAACAAATCTAAATGAACATATATAATATATATATATATACACGTTTTTGCTGAGATTTGACAAAATTTTGCATCGTGATTACGTAATGACATCATCACGCAATGCCATCACAACATCATTTAGCAAACTTTTAGCAACAAATCAACCTTCCTTTAGCAACTTCCCCCGAAAATGAGTTGGCAACACTGGACTCACAGCACGCGAGTACTTTCACGTCGCATGAACGGAGAATTACACACAAAATTATGTCGAATTGTCCGTTTTGACGAGTATTCACGTCAACACAGTTGATTACGTGAATGTAAACAGTAGGGAGAACATGTATCAGTACATTGCAGCTGTGTATTCGGTTTTAAAGCCAGGGATAGCAGCCTAATTTAGTTGCTATTGTCCGAGTCATTGATGTTAATCAAGCAACAAAAGAAAGACAGAAAATCACGCACTGCTCTTGACCGAAAAACTTTAGTAGCTCTAAAGATTAATCTAAATTTATTTATAGAAATAAATATGTCTGCTTCAAAGAATGAAGAATATGGTAAACAAGTTGCTACAAAGAATGCATAATTAGCCTATATAACCATTGGTATTTCATTAAAACGAAGACCATGTTCTTGTTCTTTATGAGAAGTGGTTTTATTTAATTTCAACAAAGGCATGTTGCGTGTCACTGCAGTTATATCGATGTCTATCATGATAAAACCTTAATATCAAACTTATATAATGAGTTTGGAAATTTTTGAGAAATGCTTAATAAAAGCACTGTAACTAAACCCATTAGATTTTAGCCAACTAAATTTACTGTAGATTTAGTCGACTAAAACTATATGATATTTAGTCAACTAAAACTAGACTAAAACTAAAAACAATTCAGATTACTAAAATATGACTAAAACTAAACGGCATTTTAGTCAAAAGACTACGACTAAAACTAAATCAAAATTTGCTGGCAAAATTAACACTGCTGCAAACTTTTAAACAGTAGTGTAAATTTCAGTCATACATCATCATATGATCAATTGACTTCTCTCCTGATACTTAATGGTGCTTTCGCATCCTCTTTGAAGCTTGAAAGCTCTAGACGCCATTAATTGTAATTGCCTGGAAAAAAATTCTTTCAAATTTCTCCTTTTTGTGTTCCATGTAAGAAAGGAAGCCATACAGGTTGGAACGACACAGGGGTGAGTAAATAATGCCAATAAAAATAAAACAAAAAGAAGACAATCTCAAACTTCATTACACAAAAATCATGTGCAACATACAGAAAACGTCAAGGGTGATGTGTGCTGTGTTTTGCTGTAAGATACTGTGTTTAAACACGAATACTATACCTTGCATTTAGGACAAACAAAGCCACTCATGTTTTCAATCACACCTATGATAGGTATTTTGACCTTTATACAGAATCGGATCTCTTTTCTCACATCCTGCAAAGATACTTCCTATTTGAGAAGGGAACAATAAAAAAAAAAAATTTATACAGCAATCAAAACATACTTAATAAGGATTATTACATGTTATTCCTATAAACATTTTCAATCACACCTATGATAGGTATTTTGACCTTTATACAGAATCGGATCTCTTTTCTCACATCCTGCAAAGATACTTCCTATTTGAGAAGGGAACAATAAAAAATAAAAAAAAATTTATACAGCAATCAAAACATACTTAATAAGGATTATTACATGTTATTCCTATAAACAAATTACGAATACAGCAAAATTGGTTTACTTTATTTTAAGGCATCCTTGTTACAATGTAATTATACGTTTAAGTACTGAGTAATATTTATTAACTACATGTACTTACTTTATGGTTAGGGTTTGGCTTAGGGTTAGTTGCATGTAATTATGCATCATTTATTGTTATTATAATAGTAAGCACATGTAACGTGTAATAAGAACACCTTAAAATAAAGTGTTAAACCAAAATTGTTTCAGTTGGCTGCTACTTTTCTTCTCATGTGCAGTAGTGGCAGCAAAGTGCCACAACAAGGGTGACCCTAACACCTACAAAACAAATATTTAACTTAAAGTGTATTGCTCCAACACAGTCTGGTATTGCAGAATACTGCCTACCAACAACAACAACAAACAAACAAACAAACTATGACCTTTGGCTATTTATTAAAGGACGTGTAAGTGCATTTCTGTGTCCTATCACAGAATTGCAATGAAAGACTATAAACAATAATGAATGATGAAACAACTCGGAGAAATGAATGATGGCTTGAAGCATGTGTGCAATTTGTCTGAAGACATAACTTTTTTCTTTTTTTATACATTGTTCACACCGAGTTCCACTTCACTGTTAGCGTGCAGGAAATAAACAATTTTTTTTTAACTTTCAGTTAAGTGTGAAAACCTTGTTCCTCAAACGTCAATACATCTGAACTCATGATTAAAATCAAACTATTTTTTTTATAATGCAAATCTTTTTATTTTAATATTTTGTAATATTTTATTTTTATAATGCAAACTAGATCACAACATATAAAAGCAACTTCCTGGAACATGCACAGCGTTTGACACATCTGAGTGCTACTGTTCAGCTGTTCACCTGCGGGGTGGTGATGATGACGGCTCCGTCGATGCCAGCGCTGCTGAGATACTGCACGATGGACAAATGCTCATCAGAAGTTCCTGGAGGCGTGTCTACGATCAGATAGTCCACTTCTCCCCAGTCCACATCCCTCAGAAACTGTTTTATCATGCCTAAACAAACTTTCAGTTAAGTGTGAAAACCTTGTTCCTCAAACGTCAATACATCTGAACTCATGATTAAAATCAAACTATTTTTTTTATAATGCAAATCTTTTTATTTTAATATTTTATTTTTATAATGCAAACTAGATCACAACATATAAAAGCAACTTCCTGGAACATGCACAGCGTTTGACACATCTGAGTGCTACTGTTCAGCTGTTCACCTGCGGGGTGGTGATGATGACGGCTCCGTCGATGCCAGCGCTGCTGAGATACTGCACGATGGACAAATGCTCATCAGAAGTTCCTGGAGGCGTGTCTACGATCAGATAGTCCACTTCTCCCCAGTCCACATCCCTCAGAAACTGTTTTATCATGCCTAAACATTAGCAAAATACTGAAAGTGTCACAATGCACCATAACAAACAAGTCAATGAATTCAATTAATTTCCCATTTGTTTGTATAGTCCTTATGACAATACATATCATTCAAAGCAGCTTCATAGGAAATGAATGTTTGTTCTGTATTCCAAATATAGAATGATCTGTGTTGGTCAGTGCAGACTTTTTAACAGGCAGGTGAAACACTGTCTGGGCCTGAAGCTTTCTTAGTCTGTTAGTCTGTTCACGCGGTTCACGTGGTGTACACAGACCTTAAGCGCAGGTGGAATGGTGGGGGAGACAGGAAGGGGGGTTGCAGGGGGGGGTAGGTGAAGTGTGAAGTGTGAAGTGCAGATCAGAGTGGGTGTGGGCTGAGAGACTGGGCTTTTCGAATCTGCAGTAAAACACATTCAGATCATCAGTCAGTTGTTGATTCTCAACAGACTGTGGGGGTGGTGTCTCGTACTTAGTGATGTTCCTCAGACCAGTCCATACTGATGCTGGGTCGTTGGCTGAAAACTGTTTTTTTTAGTTTTTTTTGACTGACAATACAGAGAACAACAAACTAAAACAGCAGAAGAATTGCATAGATCAGCGTCCTGGCTGCCATTCGCGGTGCCATCTTGAGACAAGGACACTCCACAACCATAACATAAAACAACCAGGGCTGTCCTTTGGGCAGTGCAACTGATGCAAACGCGATCGCACCAACACCCACCCCCCCCTCAAAAATTGTTTGTCTTCGTAATATTTAATCAAAATCTGCACATTTATTACCGCTCTGTAATGGCATTCCTTTTCTAATGAAGTCAGTTTGACGGCTTGGGCAGAATATCCTTAAACACACCCCTCCGACCATTAGATTGCTAAGAGTGAAAGACAGAGAGGAGGAGCGCAAACATAAAACCATGCCCAATATTCCATTTCAGCTGGAAATACATCACTACACTGAAATAAATTCGGCAGCAACTTCCGGTTCACACAGACTTTAAACTCAAAGCTATAAGCTGATTGATGGCATGGAACCAGACGTTATCAGAGTGATCTATATGATGTTGCAAAAACTGCAGTGTTTAGCACTTCAGTGTGAGATGCAGTATCAGTGAAAATCAAGCAAGCAAACAGATTTGCTACTCAAGACAACTCTGAACACAAAATCCTTCTGTTTGTACACTATAGTGTTTTGATGCTTGATGTGCACCACAATGAATTCTGATCCAATATGTTTGTATCCGAGATGCCAAAACTGTCTACGTAAATAGGCTGTAATCATGCAGATATTCAGTACACATATAGTGATTTACTTCCTCTAAAAAACAAACAAATAGCAAGCCATTGGCTCTTAATGACACATTTGGAGCCAAATTACATTTTGTTGATATTTCTGAAGTATCTGACAAAGACTGTCATTCAAAAGTGCTTCAAATTTTCCCTTAACTTTCACTTAATTCAAAAATAAACCCTCAAATGTTAAATAATAACCAATATTATTTTTGTCAAATATCTGAATGTTTTTTTAAATACCATTAATAATTGATGACAACAAAATTCGGTTTCCTGGGTTAATGTAGAATAAGACAACTAAACAAAATGTTAGTGGCAGATTCAGAATGATTCACTGACTGAATGAGCCAGATTAATTCCACTAACTCACTAGTGAGGCAGTTGTGTGAATCTTTTGGCTGACACAATAAAAAGTACAGTCAGTTGTTTGTGAATCAGACATCATGGCTTGCATCATGTTTGTTGTTGTATGCATGAAACAGTGCCATTTTGTTGTTATACTTTTTACATCTGGAGTATAATCCAGATTTTCTGATGCCTTTACCATTCAGACAAGGCCATCTTAACTTACAGTAAGCCTTTCTCACAACTCTAAAGTAAATAGAAACCACATAGATTACACAGTAAATACACAGATAACGGAGTAAAAACAATATAATACATTTGGTATGACACCAAACCAAACGTGTCACACAAAAACATTCATGTTGCATAATAATCATTGTCCTACCAAACTCCCCACCCATGCTAAATGAGCACACATAGTTATAGTCAAAATACAGTCAAAAAAGAATACTTGGGCCAAAATGGAAAAAAAGTACACGTTAACATCATGGTCAACTCATTACACGTTAACATCACAGTCAACTCATTAGACATCACGTCAACTTCCCTTGAATCACACAATGCTACTTCCTGAAATGAAAAACAAAAGCAACAACAACAGCTCCTCCCACTCGATTTATTTAGTTGATCAAATAAATGTGCTCGAAATCTGCTATGGCATGCCATATATAACTCTTGTGTACATGAAGTTCAACAGCAAGAGTCATTCAGCTCCTGTATGTATATTAATGGAGCTAATCAACACCTTGTCCAATACTGTATCTCAACTCTAAAGGAAGCTACATTCAGTACACCTGTGAAGCGCACAGTAAAGGAAATCAGTCATCATCACAGATAAGACAGTGGTTAAAATACAGAACTAAGGAAGTGAAACCCATCCGGCCTAAATCTAACTTAGTGCTTCAGATCAACAGAGCCACGTGCTCTCATCAGAGAGCTTTTCTGAGCATCTCATTATTGCCCATGACATCCAGTTTTCTGTTCCTTTGTAGCACAAAGTATAAACGGGTTTGGTGCAGAAAGAAAGATGAGTATCAGATGCATCTGCTTTTCATCATTCAATGCATTTGATCCAAGTTCCGCTAATAGTTATATTAGTGCTGTCAATCTGTCAAAATATATATATATATATATACAGTGGGGCAAAAAAGTATTTAGTCAGCCACCAATTGTGCAAGTTCTCCCACTTAAAAAGATGAGAGAGGCCTGTAATTTTCATCATAGGTATACCTCAACTATGAGAGACAAAATGAGAAAAAAAAATCCAGAAAATCACATTGTAGGATTTTTAAAGAATTAATTGGCAAATTATGGTGGAAAATAAGTATTTGGTCAATAACAAAATTTCATCTCAATACTTTGTTATATACACTTTGTTGGCAATGACAGAGGTCAAACGTTTTCTGTAAGTCTTCACAAGGTTGTCACACACTGTTGCTGGTATTTTGGCCCATTCCTCAAGAGCAGTAATGTTTTGGGGCTGTCGCTGGGCAACACAGATTTTCAACTCCCTCCAAAGATTTTCTATGGGGTTGAGATCTGGAGACGGGCTAGGCCACTCCAGGACCTTGAAATGCTTCTTACAAAGCCACTCCTTCGTTGCCCGGGCAGTGTGTTTGGGATCATTGTCATGCTGAAAGACCCAGCCACGTTTCATCTTCAATGCCCTTGCTGATGGAAGGAGGTTTTCACTCAAAATCTCACAATACATGGCCCCATTCATTCTATCATTTACACGGATCAGTCGTCCTGGTCCCTTTGCAGAAAAACAGCCCCAAAGCATGATGTTTCCACCCCCAAGAACTTGCACAATTGGTGGCTGACTAAATACTATTTTTCCCCACTGTAGCTAGTGATTGACCGAAATGTATTTTTTATAACCGATACCAATTATCTGCATGTTTATGTGCCCGATAACCGATATGCAGAACCGATATTTATTTACTGTTATAAAGTAAATAAATGACTAAGTGAAGTAAGAACATACTTCACTTAGATTTTTCCTCTTTTCAGTCATCTTTTTATTTTTTTTTTATTTTTTTTTTAAGTGTTGAAAATTAGCAGTCATTCATGTTAAAATTAATCTTCATACTACAACAATAAAAAAAACATTTTATTTATAAAAAGCATCAACAGCAACAACACTAATATTAACAATAAGAAAAATAAATGTCTAATGTTTTCAAATGAAGAAAATAAATAAAGGACAGGGGTCATCAACTTCATTTTAAACTACAGTTTTAGTAGGTTTATAAGCTGTTTAATAGCTACAGAGTCAATAATAATTCACTTGATAATGTTAATTCACTGAATAATATTCTCTGGAATATTGGAATATAACAAACAAAACATCGTATTTTATTGCATTTCTCAACTGGAATGTTATATCAGAATTATTAATAATGTTTTTGTCCTTCTAGATTATGAAATGCCTGCGGACAGCGCGGTTTAGCTATGCAGTTACACAGAACTATACTCAAACTGCGATCGCTCGCGGAGATATTAAATAATTAATTTCCATAGAGTTGAATTTATTTAGATGTTTATTAGCGAAATATTGGTTATATAGTAAATGTTAATACAATTTAGGGTGTTTTAAACAAGTGAATCTTGTTAAAAGTTACATGCGGTGGCCGTGCTGGAGCATTTCCTGAGCATCAACCAGGTGAGTGAACAGCAATATGAAAGTGGCTTCACGAGACTAATGATGAGCAAATATACAACAGAGAGAGAATTAAATTCAACGCTTTTATTTCCAACATGCGCTCATTCATGGCTGTATTATTTAACTCATGCAAAGTTACGTCTTTATTGGGAGAGGATCTTGGCGTATTATCTATGTGACTCCGACTTCACGAGACTAACGATGAGCATAGACAACAGAGAGAGAATTCAATTCAGCACTTTTATTTCCAACATGCGCTCATTCATGGCTGTATTATTTAACTCATGCAAAGTTACGTCTTTATTGGGACAGGACTTGATGGATTATTTTACATGACTCCGTGAGTTGGTCTCTATTTCTTAGAGCCAAGCTGCATAAACTACATATCAGGCATTTATGTAATGCATCTAATTTGTGTATAAATGGCTGTTATGTTAAATAAAGTTTACTAACTACAGCAAATCAAGTACCTGAACCATGCCTTTGTCATGCCTTTGTTGTTGTCTTGTTTGCTCTCAGATGCACTGCAATGGCGATCCTGCGCTCAATTCTCATTTATCGGTGAATTAGATATTACAAAACCGATATTTGATTATTGTAAAATGCTTAAATATCGGGAAAAATATCGGTAAATCTATATATCGGTCGATCTCTATATATAGCCTTTCAACATTACAGTATAATTGAGAGCTATCAATTTTAACATTTACTAGACTTTTAAAAAATAACTTCTAATTTAAGTGAACTTAAAACAATTTTCACATTGACCCATTATGTCATATTTACCTGTGCCCTTCAGCAGAAATTAAAATTGAAGTTATCAAACCCTAAATTCTAAATTAAATATAGATGAATCCTTAAAGCTATAAAAGTAATTTTTTTCTTTGTCCTTTGATTAATAGACATCACAGCAGCTGGTTATTAGGTTATTTTGGCTGTTATTTCTTAAGCTGCCGCTGCTGAACGTGACGCGGATCTGACACGCATCGTATTTTCTCTCAACCCTTTTTGGCCAAATTCTCAAGTTTTAATACGAAATTTAAACAATAAATAGTTTTGGCGCACTTAATGTGGCGTAAATCAGAAAATGTAGCGCTTCAGTTAAAGCCAGAGCCATTGAAAAACAGAGTTGCGACAAGCTTTGATCTCGCCAGCTCTCCAAACCAGCGTTGACAATCAATTTGAATGGGTTTAAGACGACAGCTTCACTTCACAGGAATTTGCAGCAATTTTTGGTAAACATTACAGCATATTATGCATTGATTATGTCGATCACATTTACAGTATCACTTTATTCTGGAGAGTGATGGAGAGGCAACATTAATATGGTTTTCTTGTATTTAACCCTCAGTTATTGCTTACTTATAATGTGACCATACAGCTTAACTCTTTTTCAGTTAAAAAATCGTTCTATATTTAAGTTATTTATATATTTAGCTATATTATATGATATTTTGATACTAAATACTATTTGTGCGATAATATGCAACAATATATGCAACAATTATGGTCCATTAATGACAAAATATATTTTTCTAGAATTTATATTACTTCTATTACAATTAGTGTAGTATTTAAGGTAAAATAGAGAAAGGGTTTTAAATTCCAATGCAAAGAGGCAAATTAGAGTAATTTTGTGATGATTAAACACTAGATTTTTAAATGTGAAATTAAAAAACTTAATACTTACATCCTTTTTTTTAATGATACTTATATACAGTGGGGCAAAAAAGTATTTAGTCAGCCAACAATTGTGCAAGTTCTCCCACTTAAAAAGATGAGAGATACAGCTTAACTCTTCTTCAGTTAAAAAATTGTTCTATATTTTAGTTATTTATATATTTAGCTATATTATATGATATTTTGATACTAAATACTATTTGTGCAATAATATGCAACAATATATGCAACAATTATGGTCCATTAATGACTTAAAATATATTTTTCTAGAATTTATATTACTTCTATTACAATTAGTGTAGTATTTAAGGTAAAATAGAGAAAGGGTTTTAAATTCCAATGCAAAGAGGCAAATTAGAGTAATTTTGTGATGATTAAACACTAGATTTTTAAATGTGAAATTAAAAAACTTAATACTTACATCCTTTTTTTTAATGATACTTATATACAGTGGGGCAAAAAAGTATTTAGTCAGCCAATGGCTGACTAAATACTTTTTTTCCCCACTGTATGTGTATTGTGTTGTCTTGTCAGGACGGAAACTTTTTTTAATTTTGAAAGCAGTACTTCTGCTTCAGAGTTTTATTGTGGCTGGAAGCTAATGCTGCCCTTGTTTCAGCTACGACTGGAACACAAATCGTTTATTTAATTACACTAAAGTTAATCATGATGTGATTTTTAAGAAGCACCAGTTATTGTACACCGGTTGGCAGAGATTAGCACAAAAACCTGTTTACTGAAATGAAAACTCCAGATTGACCAAGTGGAAACATGTCACTTAAAAACAGCTGCATGAAACCAAACATGCATCACCAAGACATCCTTAACCATTAAACCAACAATCACATGACTGCTGCCCACAGAAAAACACCACGTCCCCTAACTGTCGTCTTTTACACTGGGATGTGATTAGACCTAAAAGAAGGCAATATTTAGGATGGCATCTAAAGGGCATTTATTTTTTTATTTTTTTATGAAGTGCCATTTGAAATTTTTTTATTCCCATAAATCATAATCATATCAAGGCATTAAGTTTAATTATGACACCACATAAAAATGTAAAAAATAAATAAAAATCAACAGATTAGAACTATGTTCATTTATTTGCATAATTTTTTTTTTGTATTTTTTCCCCCACCACTTTAGTTTGAACTGAAATTCAAACTTCAGCATGACTTTTATTGCTTTTCAAGGCCATGTCATTGCTGTTTAGATCATCGGGGCTGTTTAATGTGCTTTTAACAAGTGCCTATTGATTAGGTGCCTGAATTCCCCAAGAACTTTGAAGCAGAGCATTCTGGGTAGAATTAAAATAGGTCAAATGGTTGTGTGGTCTTGTGCAGGCTGCTCTGTTTGTTTTGACCTGGACTATCAGCGTTATAGTGCAAGTAAACAGATCCATAGATTCAAAAATAACTGCTCTGCAGTCAGATCCCACGTATTGTCACACTTTTGCCATGTTTGGATTCCAATACAACTCACAGCTAAATAAGACTGCATGTCTTTGAGGAATGCAATTGAAACTACTTAAGAAAATGAAAAATGTAATATTCCTGATGTGTACAACAGAAGACAGGGCTAAAATAAAGCACCAACCATTCTTTTTGGGTCCTCTCCAGATAACAGCATCATCTGGACTACTGAGCAGGAAGCCAATGGACATGACAGCCAAGTTGTCCTCAACATACTAGACAGAGAGAATATATGCATATGTAAGAATGCCTGAGAATGTAACAAATGCTTGAGAACACAAATCAAAAGAATAGAGATATAAAAGATCTCACCACTGGGGACCAGCCTGAGCCGCTCTGATGAACCTACAGAGAAAACAAGCAGAGAATGACATTCCCCATCTATAAATCAGTCAGATATCTCAGCATTCTGTCACAAAAAAGAAGCACAATGAAGCCAGAGATATACGACATACCTGCTCCCCCTCTAACCCCATTATCTTTGGTATAGATGGCCCACAGATGTCCACATCTAGCAGTGCAACCTGGAAGAGGAAAGAATAAATTCAAGCACAAAAACTGGCATAAGGCTGTTTAATAAGGATATGGATTATGGATTAATGAGGTTGTGCCTTGCCTTTAAACACCTTGCTCATATTATTTACTGTATTAAACAAAGCAAAAAACAAAAACAAAACGGTTGGAATTTGAGCCCAGGTTTCCTAATGGCAATTGAAAATTGCTCCACCGCAATACAATGAAGTTAACACAAGATGTCAGCGTGGCATAGCTTAGCGAGTCAGCAACTCACAGTTGCACACATACAGCTTCAGTCTGACCAGCACGGACTCAGTCATTACATACGGCCATCACTTCAGTTCCCGCTCTATACACAAAGACCACAACCACCTCCAACACACGTTTAGGCTATTTAAACTCATCTCTGAATGCCACTTCTACCCTGCTGTGACCGGGAAACATAACCTTTACACCGCCTATGTGGTTTGAATGAAAAATCAGGTCTGTGGTCTCATGTCTGAGTGTACAGTACTACAGCCTTGATTTGGTGTGACCAGACCTAATAGTTATATTTGAACTCTGGGCCAGATGTGCAGCAGAACTGTGACATAAGAAAAGTGCTCAATGGGAGTCAGTGTGCGTGAAAACAGATCCAGAACACTTCAACAAATACCGCCAAAACTACAGAGCAGTTCATTCAAATTAATTATACAGCAAACACAACTATCTGAGTTTGCCAACAGACTGGATCATATTGTACCAATAATGAAAAGAAACATAAGTGTAAAAAAATAAGCATCCATCTATCTATCTATCGAGGTTCATACCTATTTATCTATCTATCTATCTATCACTGCAAACACCTCAACAGGGCCTCACAGAAACAGATGCAAATGTCATTAGTCATGAAGGGGAGAAAAAAAAACCTGGGAATCATTTAGGATATTTCTGGCTTTTGTAAAGCAGATCATCAAAACTCTTTTACATGACACACACACACACACACACAATAGACCTCCGAGAGCTGCTGCATGCCCAATGGATTATACTGCAGCATACAGTATGTTTAGATGATCACACCAGAGTTAGAGTTAGAGTTTGTGCGTGTGACTGATCTGTGGACATGATAGGAACTGATAAAAATTCCAGATGTGCTGATGATTTCACTTTTTGGATCCATGAAAGCTCTTTTCATGCAACAAAAGTTGCACATGACATGCACCTAAATGGATCAACAATGATGTTATTTCAAGTTCTCAAAGCATTTGTTTAAAATGTATTTGGTTCAAAAATAAATATAGTCAAATTAAACATATGACCTTCTTTCCCCTGGCTTGTGTTAAATGTTATTTGTCAACGGCTGAATTAAGCAGCACGCCCTTAAAACACCCTCGGTAGGGTCACACGCTGTTTATTTCCCCTCCCTGTTCATCTGCTTCCTGAAGGAAATTTACTGAAAGCACACTTTGGAGTGAAAGCTGCAAACGAGGAGGAGCACAGAACCCCACTTAATCGTCCAGGTTCCCTCGCTCTCTCTCAGGAAATGGACGCTCAGTGAACAGGGTTGTAGGGAGGCTAAGACCATAGTGGCAAAAGTCAGGGATTCTTCCAGCGAGCTAAAGGGGAAATCACACCACTTCCTCCCAGAGTCTGAATACTTTTCTTCTGGCAACCGCTCTTCTTTTCCAGTAATTGAAACACAAATGTACGTGCTCCTGTGTCTTGTTTGACCTTCTTAAATCAATGTCTGAAACCCTCAGGGCTCATCAAATACACGAAGAGTGAGGAGTGGAAAAGCACATCTTAACCTAACAAAAATGCTAAGAATCCCACAGACCTCTTGAGAGAATATGGAACTTCCACAAACGGGCCTGTTTGGGACCAGATGCAGATTTGGCTACTGTAGCCTATATGCTCTTCCTAGAAAAGCAAAGAGACATTAGCTGTGCTTTCATCCAAATTGTGAATTTACTGTAATTTATGCAAAAAAAAAACTGTGAATAAAACAGTGTTTACTTCCCATGTGTTTAAAAGAACAAAATTCACTTCTGAGGGAAATTTTTTCCTGCAGGCTACAGGGTCCCATTACTACATACAATATGTGCTTGAAAAATAGTAGAAGTCTCTAGGAAAAAAAAAATCAATAAAGAGAAAAATACAGTTGCACAAACTGCCATCTAACAATGGAAAGAGAGTGAGATGTAAGAGAAAAAAGACATGACCCATAATTCCACAGTGAGACCTTTTAAAAACACTTCTGAATACTGGAAGCGGAGAGCGTGGGACTCGATTCCTCACGGCTTTTTAGATGTCTGCCAACAATGGAGCGCTTCACACTGTGGAAGTCCCCAAGCTGTGCGATTTAAATAGTTTGAGGGATTGAAGATTAGTTTGTTGAGACGAGATCAATACAGCTCTCCCCAAGTGCACTGGTTTAGAAAGAGTCCCAGTCAGAGCCGTGCTCTTCTCAATGAACCCAGTAAACAGCTCTTTCTGCCGCAGAGCTCTACCATGCATTAAAAATAGCCAGCAGTCTCAGATGGAGAAAAATTATTGTGAAGTGCTTGGCTAGGATGCCGATATGCAAACAGAAGATTTTCTTGTTCACTGCTCTTTCGAAATGATACATTCAAGTTCAAAAGCATAAGTGTTATGTTTTTCACAGCAGTTGGTTGGTTTTCCTATTCTGATTAACACGTTAATGTTTTACTAAAGGCACCACACTTAAAATGTCCGATACGATTTCAGAATCGTTTCTGAGCGAGTTTGGAAATGTGATTTAACATTCATAGTGCTATAAGGCAAAACAATCCATTTGAACAATAAGCTACAATGAAAATTAATCAAAATGAAGCGCTTTTTATTTTAAAAAAATCTATATGAGCTAGGCTTGCAGCACATCTAAATTAGTTGTGGCATTTCATATTCCAATGAGTGTAAAAAAAAACATTTTTAATCAAAAAGATCAGGTCATAATTGAGTCTTGATAGAAAAACATTGAATGGTATCACATTAATAGTGAGACAAATATTGTCTGTCTGATATCCAAACAATGCTAACTTTTCAGGCAGTAGCCTATACAGAGAAAGGAAGACATCAAGGTATGCAAGAATTAACAAGGTTTCTACTAAGATGCTATCATTTGGTCAGTTTAGTCAAAGTCAGTGTAAATGTACCATTTGACACGCCACAGTCCTATGTGTAGCAGTTGTACTAACTGTCAAGTCAACGCTTTAAATAAAACAACTGAACCGCTTTAATGTGAACACCAACACAAATGTTTTCCTCCTGTGTACACTTGCAAGAATTTATGGATAAACCAACCAACAATACATGATAAAAGAGGTCAACAAACTCATCTGCTACAAGACAATATTTACAAAGCTATCCAATCTTATTTGTATTTCTGGTTTAACAATTTTAAAGAGGTCATAAACTGAGAAATCAAATTACCTTGATCTTTTGACATATAAGAGGTCAATGTACTATAAAAACATCCTTAAACAGCTTATATTTAAGCCAATCTGCCAAAACGTCAGGAGTCATCACTAGCTAATGCATGAGACAAATGTGCGCTGAACGTGCTCTTCCCAACACCCCCTTTTCCAGACAACACCAGAATCTTGTGCTTCACAGAGGTCAATTTCTGTCTGATTTCCTCTATGGCTGCAACGAGAGAAAACAAAGTCACACACTTCAGATTTAGATGGAGCTATTATAATAAAAAAAGAACATTGATGTTGTACATCATCATCCGTTAACATATCTGAAGGATAAATCTAAAAAGCCATAGTATGAAATGCCATCGACCTTGAATAACATTAAGAAAAGTTTAATCAATTTCAAAAATCTTTTTTTTTTTAGTTTGTTCTTTCTTTATGAACATTCAAAGCTCACACAGAACTGACCAGTTTTAGCCGCAATATACTTATGTATGTATACCTGGATCAGGAGCTTTGGCAGCACCAGACGCACATATGGTTTGGTTTGGGCATCCTTGACATGCTGATGTTTTACCAGCCTGATCACTGCTTGTGCCCGGACAGTCTAGAGAGAATTACAACACATTAAAGCAATTAAAATATAGACATGTACAGTGTGTATCTGAACAGATGCCTCTGTAAGTTTTGCCCTCCCTCTTCTGTCTTTAACAGCAAATAATAATACACACAATGACAGACAGACTTAGACATAAGTTCACTATGCCATTCAAAGAAAGACCAGGGGCCAGTTGCACAAACATAGTAACTATTTTAAAGTGGGTCTTAGTTTCACCAACCTCCAGTAGAAAAGGGGTAATTGGTCGAACTTTAGATATTCAAATTAGACCAAACTACCTTTTAGTAATTGAATTAAAAAAGTTATGACCAGTCGAAGAAAAAAAATCTAGATGACTTTTTAAGACTAGCAGTTTTTGCAACCGTCCCCAGAACTAAGCTTCCACACTTAGTTTGACAGCATGTTGTAACTGTAACTGTATTTATGGATGTTAACGTAAACAGTAATGTAAAGGTGCAGGCAGCTGTTCTGACAGACTCTCTGACATGACAGATGCCCGATTTCATAACATTATTAAACATCAAAGAGGCACAGCGAAACGTGTCTGATATGTTGGCGAAAGTGTCATTTAAACTGTAAACCGATGACAGCCTAAGAAACGGGGGATTCACTTAATGTGAAAACGTAATGCATAAACATTCATTGGACTTACGTTCTGGTGCATCACTAGGAACGTCCGCCATCTTTAAAAACATGCGCACTTCCTGACACTGGTGCAATGACAATGAACTTCCCCGAATAATGCTGTGTGTCGAAGGTTCCGCACAGTCACTTGTAAGTACATTGCGGTCAATTTGATTGGGTGCATAAATAATTCATAATAATCCATTTTTACACACAGTGTGGCGGTCAAAAGTAAAATGTGAATATATACACTACCGGTCAAAAGTTTGGGATCAGAACGAGTTTTAATGTTTTAACCTCAAACCAACCTCAGGAGTTTCTTATGCTCATCAAGGCTGCATTTATTTGATCAAAAATACACAGCAAAATCCCAAGAGTTAAATCAACTCTGCTCAGAGTACATATTGTCCCAATCTACAGAGTGTTAAAATAACACTGAAGCAGAGTTACCACTGTTGAGGATTATGTGATATGTTTTCATGTCTAAAAGCCTGAGCAGTAGTTGTTCATCTTCAACATTGCTAACAGCGGGTTTTCGTTACTAATGCTCACTCATCAATTAATTCATTGCGTAAGTATCCCATTAAGTTTAACTTGGCTTCAGTGTTATTTTAACACTCTGTAGATTGGGCCAATATGTACTCTGAGCAGAGTTGATTTAACTCTGGGGATTTTGCGGTGTACAGGAAAAAATGTAATATTGTGAAATATTATTATAATGTAAAATAACGTTTTTCTATTTTAATATACATTAAAATCTAATTTACTCCTGTGATGCAAAGCTGTATTTTCAGCATCATTACGCCAGTCTTCAGCGTCACATGATCCTTCAGAAATCATTCTAATATGCTGATTTATTATCAGTGCTGGAAACTGTTGTGCTGCTTAATAGTTTTTTGGAACCTGTGATACTTTTTTTCAGGATACTTTGATGAATAAAAAGTTAAAAAGAAGAGCATTTATTTAAAAATATAAATCTTTTCTAACAGTATACACAACAGTTCAAAAGTTTGGGGTCAGTACATTTTTATTCTTTCTTTTTTTTTGAAAGAAAGAAAGAAATTGAAACTTTTATTCAGCAAGGATGTGTTAAATTGTTAAGAAGTGATAGCAAAGATTTATATTGTTAGAAAAGATTTATATTTCTATATTTATATTATTATATTTATATAAGATTACTGTTTTTTCTGTATTTTTGATCAAATAAATGCAGCCTTGATGAGCAGAAGAGACTTCTTTAAGAGAGACTGTGTATATATATATATATATATATATATATATATATATATATATATATATATATTTAATTCACGTCGTTTAATACTGCCACTTATCTGATTGAAGGTGAATATTTTGATTATTTAAAAGCTTATTGAGAAAAAGAATCAACCATCTTTATTTATACTTTTTAAATTTCTTTTTATTTCTTCTTTTATTGTTTGTTATGTGTGCCTATGTGTTTGTTTTCCGCTAAAAGATTAAAGCCTAGTTGAACTATTTTACTATTTTAGACGCATTTGTAATGATAAACTATACATTTAACTCCAGATACTAAAAAATAAACTTTTGACTGTGTGTTCTTCAATAGCACTGTGGGCCACTTTAGTAATTTCCACACAAAATTTGTTTAATTTGTAATGGGATTTTTAAAAATAGTATTTTTTGAATTATTAGTCAAATATGAATAATAAAACTTCATGTTTTGTTCTACATAAAATACAGTAATACCTCAACCATGAATTTAGCAACATTTTAACAAGCTGTTACATAAGGCCTACAGTGGTTGGTTGTCTTATTCATCTCAAATGTATAGTCCTTAGCAAGTATCAACTTAAAAAAAATATATATATATAATAATAAATATTATTATTTAAAAAATAATTTTCAAATTTACAAATTCTTAATAGTTTTTTGGAACCTGTGATACTTTTTTTCAGGATACTTTGATGAATAAAAAGTTAAAAAGAAGAGCATTTATTTAAAAATATAAATCTTTTCTAACAGTATACACAACAGTTCAAAAGTTTGGGGTCAGTACATTTTTATTCTTTCTTTTTTTTTGAAAGAAAGAAAGAAATTGAAACTTTTATTCAGCAAGGATGTGTTAAATTGTTAAGAAGTGATAGCAAAGATTTATATTGTTAGAAAAGATTTATATTTCTATATTTATATTATTATATTTATATAAGATTACTGTTTTTTCTGTATTTTTGATCAAATAAATGCAGCCTTGATGAGCAGAAGAGACTTCTTTAAGAGAGACTGTGTATATATATATATATATATATATATATATATATATATATATATATATATATATATATATATATTTAATTCACGTCGTTTAATACTGCCACTTATCTGATTGAAGGTGAATATTTTGATTATTTAAAAGCTTATTGAGAAAAAGAATCAACCATCTTTATTTATACTTTTTAAATTTCTTTTTATTTCTTCTTTTATTGTTTGTTATGTGTGCCTATGTGTTTGTTTTCCGCTAAAAGATTAAAGCCTAGTTGAACTATTTTACTATTTTAGACGCATTTGTAATGATAAACTATACATTTAACTCCAGATACTAAAAAATAAACTTTTGACTGTGTGTTCTTCAATAGCACTGTGGGCCACTTTAGTAATTTCCACACAAAATTTGTTTAATTTGTAATGGGATTTTTAAAAATAGTATTTTTTGAATTATTAGTCAAATATGAATAATAAAACTTCATGTTTTGTTCTACATAAAATACAGTAATACCTCAACCATGAATTTAGCAACATTTTAACAAGCTGTTACATAAGGCCTACAGTGGTTGGTTGTCTTATTCATCTCAAATGTATAGTCCTTAGCAAGTATCAACTTAAAAAAAATATATATATATAATAATAAATATTATTATTTAAAAAATAATTTTCAAATTTACAAATTCCAAACATATTGCCCTAGCCACAAGTTCTTCACACTCATTCAACTGTTTTTTATTTAAACAATGATTCAAATGCAATTGTGCCTCTCAGTCACCAACAGGTTAACTCAAGTGTTTGTGCAGGGCTTTTGAGGAAGCAGAAATGAGTTTCTGGCAACACTGGAGTTAGTTTCCTAGACACTCCCAAGGGCCATGTCACTGTATACAGGATGGCTTTGTGCTTGAATTACCCAGTTACGGATGTTTCTTTTTAAATGCCAGAGAGCGACATTAAAGGCAAAAGGTGACTGGCTGGCTTCTGGCCATTTGAGATTGACTCTTTGAACATCTGAGGCTCAACTCAACTTTTACCATATTAATGTTGTGGGGTAACAGTGGCAAATTAAACCTCGAACGAATTAAACATGAGTCATGATGGATTTTCCATTCTGTATGCTCATTTATCCATGAGAAAACAGTTTTATTAGGATTTCTTCTGAAAAAAAAAATCCTCTAGTCCAGTGATTGGTTTGTTTCTTGATGGTTAGCTCCAGTTGATCCGTTTTTTAACACCTAGATTTTGCGCCCCTGATCGTTTTCCATGGAGAGGGAATGTAATATGAGATGTCCTCTGTTTTTTACAGCCTTCACAAATGCTTATAAAGTGCAGCCAGCCATGAAGAGACAGGCATTATGGGAGGAGAGCTCTCGTCCCCCCTCATCCCCCATTCATATAAAACCTCTTTTATGAATCCCTCAGGTGTACTGAGGAATTTTCTCTTTTGCTGAGTTGATCAGAAAACGTCTCAGGTTACTTATGTAACCATGGTTCCCTGAGTAGGGAACGAGACACTGCGTTCTCTAGGGGTCGCTATGGGGAACGCCTCATCGTGACCCGTGTCTGAAGCATACATTGAAAAAACACCAACTTGTTGGCCGGCGACAGCCATGACGTCACTACCGGTGCAACTATAGTATAAATAGGCGCCGGGAGCACACATCATTCACTTCTTTGTCTGAAGCTTGCGTCCGCAGCATGGCAAGAAACCTAGAGGACACAGTGTCTCGTTCCCTACTCAGGGAACCATGGTTACATAAGTAACCTGAGACGTTCCCTTTCATGGGAACTTCGAACTGCGTCCTCTAGAGGTCGCTATACTACCATCACCGCCATAGATCTGCCCATGGCAGAGGCAGCCTACTTAGTAGCATGGAGAGCAAGATCCGTGGTGCGGCACAATTCAGCCATCTCATCAGAAGAAAGGCCCTCACCTTCATCCAGGTCTTTCAGCAGGTCAGCCTGGTATGCCTGGAGCACCGCCATAGTGTGCAGCGAAGCAGCAGCCTGACCTGCTGCTGCGTATGCCCTGCCATTCAATTTAGATGTAGCTTGAAGGGGCACAGATGGCAAGGAGTTTTGAGAGACGATGTCTCACCCATAGAGAGATAGCTAGCGTCTCTTCTACAATGGGGCATTCTCTCATAGCAGTTTTCGCGCATCGCCCCAATGTTCACATAACTGGTATGCTGAAACCGATGGATGCGTGAGGAAAACGGCCTCTTCCATTCCTTCTCGATTTCAATATGGAGATCAGGAAGGAAAGGAAGGCTCACCTGAGCTGGAGGGTTATGGCCAGAAAGATAACTTTCCTCGAGACGACCTCGCGACATCACTTCCTTAGTCCGCTTCCACGGCAAGTCAAGCCTCGCCGTGGCGTGATCCATAACCTCTAAGATTTCATCATATGCAGGGCAGGAGAATTGAGAAGGCTCAGCCTCAGCTTCTTCGCTCTCTTCATCCATTTCCTGCTCTTCCTGGGCTGAACCCAGCAGAGCACTGGCCCCTGGATCAGATGATGTTAAAGAGAGAACATCAGCCTCCAGCGGCTGTCT